GAATGTATCCTCTATGTCCTGCTTACTTACCTGCACGTTAAGCTCCATATAAATCATTCCAAATACTTGTCCCACATTACATACTATGCCTATAATTAACTTAAAACCAATTTTGATGTGTACTTCTTAGGAACACATCTGTGCAAACCTTTTTTGCTTCCCTCCCACACTACGCAAAATTTGATGTGACAAGAATTAAGTCACGTGAATCATATTATCATTTGTGAGTTGATGAAGTTGTGAAGCAGAAAGAAAAACAAAATTAACTGACATCCTCTCCTTTCATGTAAGTAACAGTAATTCCTTGTCCTTTAAGATTCATAAAAGAATCCAAAGACGCAAAAACAGTTAGAAAAAAGAACACGGAGGACCTACAAATGATCTTCAACTACACCAGAAAGGCCAAGCGTGAGAAATTTCTTCTGGAAGGGATATGATCAGTGAATGAATGGTACCATTAAAATTAATAATTCTTATTTCAACGAAAAAGAATTAATAGTTCTAATTTCCAAATAACATTATATTTTAAAATAGCAAATATTGAACAATTCACCGACAGTCACGTACTTTAACAGAAAAATATAAAAACTGAATTAAATAAAAGGCACCTGTGCATTAAAGTGGAAACGATCCATGCCGTTCCAATTATCCAGGTCATAAGCGGTGAAGTGCTTGCAACAAGCAGCAACCTTCAACCGGTTAGCGTCGGTTCCCTGTAGCCCTCTAACGTAACTAGCAGCATATGTACCGGCTAGCACAGGATCCTCACCGGGAGTTTCCTGTCCGCGGCCCCACCTTGGGTCCCTGAAAATGTTAACGTTTGGGCTCCAATAGGTGAGCCCTGCTGTTCCACCGTTGTACATGGCCCTTGCCTCATCCGACACAACCTGCACATTGACCGCTACATTAATATCCTCTTTCTTTTTCTTTAGCAAAATGAAAATATCCACCTTTTTTGTTGATCCTTATATTTGGAAAATTGGGCGTGACATTATTATCAGCAACTGGCTTAATAAAATGGGGGAAAGTGAACAGCCAAACATGTCCCACAGAGAAATGATATGCAAGTTGAAGCATCCAATCGCCCATCACCAAAATTAAATTGAAACTTTATAGGAAAAGAAATGGCCCAATCATGATTTGGTTGAAACCAGATTATCGTGTTATTTATGTGGGATAACTTTATATCTTAGATCTATCAAGAGAAATTAGTTTTCTTACAAGTGGATCTCATGTATAGAATTATTTCAAAAAATAAAAGATCACTTATTTTAAATAGCTTAGAATACGAAGTTAAATTAATATTTTTATTTAAAAAAATCTAACGAGGAAATGTTCTTATATTGTTGATAAATAAGTAATTACTAAAGAGAAAAAGCATATTAATTACAAGGATAATTTAAAAATATAAATTTAAGATTTATTATTGTTAATAAAATGAACTATGTTTAGTAATCAAATAATTGTATTTGAATGAAACGCGAGAGTGTAGTACTTGCAAGCATTCTTGGGAGTTCCCATCTGTCGCCCGTGAGCGAAAAGTGAAGCAAATAAATTAAATGAATAGCAGCGTCACCGTGCACAATGCACGCTGTTCCATAACTATGCAAACAAACCCTGCAAAGTGCACCCTAGTTTTTAGATCTTTTTAATTTTATTTCCATCAAAATTAAATTTAGTCGTCATTGGTAAATACTTTGAATTAACAATATTGTGATTCTTTAATAAAATGACAATATATAATTTTTAAAAATATTTACCTAATGGATGTATAATAAAAAGATTTCTCGTGCATGGTAGCTGAAATATTAAGTATTCAGCACGCTCAGGGCGGGCCACAGAGCAAAAGTAAAAAGTAAAGTAGCATGGACGGAAACACAACTTGAGTGAATCTCAGCAAAAAATAAGAAGAAAAAACAAACCGTGACCAGAATAAAAGTCAAGCACTTTAACTGGGAATGACATACAAAATTTGTCTCAATGCCATTTATATTGTGACCTTTATTTTGTTGTCACTGTATTACTATACACAAACGGGTTACGGGATATATAAAAGAATAATAATCGATAAATGTGATAAATTTATTTTAATATATATGATTTTGTATTGCCTCGTAGTGTTGTGTTGTGTAGTGTCGGTACATGCAAATTATTACAATCATAATTAAATTGAATTTTCATCTTTTAACTTCGCTATTGATAATTATAATAATTGTAAATTGATGCAAAGAAAATCTGACCCGTCCGATTGCCTCCCAGAGAGAAGCGTTGAAGGAAGCAGCGGTGGTGATGACTTGGGGGAAGCTAGTGGCGCCAGGGAACTGCGGATTAAACTTGACTCCGGGACCCACATTTGAAACGCCGTGGAGTGCCTCCGACCACCACTCGTACCCTTTCATCCCCAGCCGCGGAACCGCCGCGGCATTGTTCACCAGAAGCCGAACCTTCTCCTCCAGCGTCAGCCTTCCGATCAGGTCCTTGACCCTCTCCGCCATCGCCACTGAGACATTGCAAAACGGCAAGTTCTTAGTGGCGCCATTTTTGGGGTCGCACGCGAATGCGTCACGTGCCTCGCACGTGTGGTGTACCACAAAGAGGAGGAGGAAGACGGCGGCGACGAGGGAGAAGGTGGAAGACATTTGGAGCAAAGAGGAGATAAAGGTGAGTGAGGGGGTGGCATGTTAAAGAATGGAGTTAACATTATATATATAATGGAAGATGTGTGAGTTTGTGTGTGAGAGAGAAGGGGAGAGGATTTGCAAATGACACTGTGGGATGATAATGAGGACGTAATAGAGAGGCGTAGCTAGTAGATGGCTTCCTTTAATTTAATGATTGGATTTTCCACTGTGTCATTTTTTTTTTACTTGTAGTTCTGTTTTATGAGCAATGAGCATCATTATGTGCATCAAACAAATTGTGTTGGCTGGTGAGATTTCAATAATGTTTGAGTTACCAAAGATATCACTCTCTGTTCATCATTTAACACATTAACAACCAAGTTACAAAGGAACAGAGTTTATTCTATATTATATCATCTTCTTCTTTTTAATCACACCAATTGCAGAATATTGTGTTTCATTCTTTAATATATATATATTTTTTGTACAAATATGGTTTCTCTTTAGAAAAAGTAGTTTTAGTTTTCCGTATATATTCTATACATATTTACATTTTATAAAATGTGTGGATTTTCAAATATATGTTATATTACGAGTGCAAGACCTATTGTTGAGTTTTAATTGATTTATAAGTGTGTGTGTGTAATGAAAATTTGAATTATTGTTATAATGTTGTTAGGATTGAAATCCGGTCAAAATTTTATGAGAAGTCTTTGACCTATTTCAAATCATGTATATATAGGTTATTTAAGTCATTTGTTGAATAAGTTAAGAATCTTTGAAAAAGGTTATTTAGTTAAAAGATCAAAGTTTTAGGCTATGTGGAAAACCTTTCAAGTCTATTAGATTGATTTATTTAAATAATGATACTGTTATTATTTTTTTCGCTATTATATTAGCTAGGTATTGATAAGAACTGTATCAGGTAATTGATTTTGACTTCAAATTTGTAAATCTTTGTTAAGTTCAACTAATTTTCACTCCTAATTACAAAGGCATAATCTCTTTTATTCTTCACAATTATGACTACTCATTTCATTAAAAGTAAATTCTATTGATAAAATAAAAGGGAATTATATTAGATACCTGTGGGATTTTTTTAATTTCCTTTTTTAAGTTTGCCTCTTAATTAAGTTGTGTAGTATTTGATGTGATAAAGTATTTATAAGCTCGTAGAAGTAAACGATCATACACCTTGTTATACTAAATCTAGAGAAAAAAATGTGGTATTTAGTGTGTGACACAATAAATTTTATAACAAGATATGATAAGATGTATAATTATTTACCGATTTATCTATCATACTCTAAGATTTAACGCTATAATAGATTTTGTTTGGTAGAAAAACGTTTCTAATATATTCTTTTTATTATGATTTTTTTAAATTAGATTTTTGACACTACTAAAGCGTCTGGGTGAGCATTAAATAATCTTATTCTTAAATTATTAGATTATTTAATTAATTTATCCAAATTTTTAATCCTTTCATTGGTATATCAGCCTAGAATGTCGAGCCAACATTTGAGAGGGAAACATCTGTAGTTCTGTTTGCACATGTTCTCTAAAACATGAAATTTTGGAGAAAAATATAATGTTAATTGAAAAACAATTAATGATTTCGAGTATAATAAATAACTACAAACAATTACAATATTTGAATTAATATTTATAAATCGTACTTTTTTTTTCTTCAAAATTTATTCCTCTAATCGCGAGAGCCAAATTTTCTTATTAGAAAACAATAATTAGTAGTCATGAGCTAATATTTGATAAGTCGGATATAATCTCTTCGCTTTGTAGGTAATATTTTCCATTGCTGGTTTCGTTTTATTGTTACACACCTGGCAAGCACAAAAGATTTATAATGACTAACTAAAATTAGTACGTACAAAGTGTAGTTGGTCTGGCACAAAAAAAAATAAAAAGAGAACTGCAGTTATCACTCAATGAACAATGTTTATGGAAGGTGTTATGAATTTATTCATTTAATGTTTTTCTCTGCCAGATTACCCAGATCCAGAAATAATAATTGATATCCTTGCTGCAATCCACCAAATGAATCAAAAGAGTGAGAGACACGTAATGTAAAACTTTTTCCCAAGATTTCAGTGGCTTGATAGTTTAGACCCTTTAGATTAAGATGATAACTTCGTGCAAATCTTGTATAAAATGGTTAAGAGTGATGAGTAACACACAAATACAAAATACCAGACACCGAAAAAGTGAGTCATCGGTCAAATGTAGTGGAAATTATAGATTCGGAAAGCATAGGTTGGATTACAAGAAGCTAATAATAGAGATCATGAAGTTAACTGCCTCTATCCACCAGCAATGTTAGCTATCTGCAAAAAGTGCTTGTTGGTTGAGTTGAGAGTAGCTTCACTTAGAAGTTAGGGTAGGCATAGAGCTTTTCTGTCCCAGATACTCAAACTCAAGAGTAAGGCTTAGTGCATATCTCACATCAGGACGGTGAAAACTTAACCTGAAATAATATAATGGCCGTGGCCAAGGATAGAAAAAGATTAACATTTAAAAATAAGAAAAACATTACTTCATAAGAAAACAAAACATTGGCAGCAGCACTAATCAACTCTATTTTCTTATTTCTTGAACTGGTAAGTTAAGTTAGGAGGCTAAAAAAGTCGAAGAAGAGAGATGAAATTATTGATAGATAAAGGCCAAATTCAAAGAAAATACAATATCACAACTAGTTGCTCCTTCCTAGCTTCCTAGGTGGAATTGATTACATGTATATTTGGTGACCACGAAACTTTACCTGGATAGTTAACAAATTGCTTATCAATGTTGAGGAGATCCAATCAAGTATCTTTTTTGGGTCGATTTTGATCATTTCTACTATAATGTAGCAGACATATATAGGAGGAGGTATCTTTAATTTTTCTTGGTGTTCTAATTTTTTCAATTGGGTAAATGTACCAAAGTTGAAGACGAGTGTAAGAGTATTATTGTCCGCGCGTGTAGGCAGAGAAAGGGACTACATATATTAAGAAAATAGCCACTTGTGTTGTGTGGGTGGTGAGTTGCTGGAAAAAGAACATTAATGAGAAGCATTGTTAGGTTTTCTTGGGAAGGCATTCATAATGTATGACAAAAGTCTTGTTGTCTGCTTCCTTCCGTGACTGGACCCATTTTCATTTTTCTAATCTTTGCTCCCAATAATCTTTCTTTTCTACCATCTAATGTTGGATATAATAAAATACGATCAATTCCTGTTTTTGGGTATTAAACCAACACAACAACAGAAAGGAATAACTAATGATGCCTTTTCCATATTCTTAAGGAAAGATCTCTCAATACATTTATAAGGAATATTTTGTTTTAGTTCAAGTGGTCCATTTTAATATTGGTAGCCTCTGCCTCGATTCACTGCATCTGTTTTAAAAGAGACACACCTATCTCAGTGGGTTACATTACATAAGATTTTAGCTAACTGATTGACTGACTCATCACTCATTGCAGATACTGAAACTCTGCAAAACACAAACAAACAACAATTGGAAGAGAAAAGCAGAGATAGAGATAGAGTCACGGGGAATTGACTACCACTGCATCATCATACTATCATAGTTCAGAGTAAGGAAAAAGTAAGGGTCAACCACTGACTTGCTGGACCCACCACTTTATATAAGTTTCCAGATATCAAATTTAGTTCATTTCAGCTTTATTTCAATAATATTAAAATAAGTCTACAATTTCTTAGTATCGGGTCTGTTCGTTGGTAGTAATGAACTAGTGACTTGCAAGTATGCCAGACGAATGATGATCTTTTAAGTACTCCAAAATTCAAATAGAAATAAAATGGAACATAATGGTAAATATACTTGAGGGCTACGTTTGAGTTGAGCGTATGTATACTCGAATTGATCTTGCATTGCTTGACTTGCACTTCCATTGCAGAACTGTTACTGTTATTATTATATATGATGCATGTAAAGATGCTTCTGCATTGTGGTAGTTTGAGGGGCGTTCTACGGCGCGAATAAGAAAGAGCTTGCCTCATCATTTTCTTGGGTGATCATGAACTAGGCGTAAATCAATCAGCATTGCCAAGAAGGCCCAAGATAAAGACCGGTACACAATAACTGGTACGATTTGTGTAAGGAATTAATGATGGACAGGAAAAAAAACCAATATGTGAAAAATGGGCTGGGTCGCATTCAACTCAAAAAATTATAGTTTAAAAAGAATCAATTAATCCAATTGGTCATGCATGAAACAAGATTGACTTTTTTTATTATTTTATATAAAACAATAGTATCTCGTCGTTATCTTCCTCATCATAATATCATTAAAATTCATCATTATATTTATTATGATAATATATTTTGTTATTATAAATTATTTTAATAAATTAAAAGAATATATATATATATATATATATATATATATATATATATATTACCTTGATCAGAGACTATATATATATATATATATATATATATATATATATATATATATATATATATATGAGATATTATAAAAAAAAGTTCTTATGAGATTAACATTAAAATTTTCATTATATATGTTTTATCTTTTTTGTGAAGGTTTATTTATTGGGTTAATGACAATTATTGTTTTTATCTATTAGAAATTTTTTTGATATATTTATTTTAGATGTCATATAATATAGTTTTATTTCTTATCAAATAGGTGATAAAATAATTAAGTGTTTTGAAGAGAAAAAAATTATGAGTTATTCTAAAATTAATAATTCTAAATAATTTATTGATTCGTGACAAGAGTCTCCTCTAATTGTATAGCAACAACAACTTCTTCTAGAAGATATTCAGTACTCACATCCTTTCATCAACTTCTCCTTCCAACTCACAAAGAATGGTTGAGTTAGGTTGTTTCTCCCATTCTCATTCTTCACTTTCTTCAAAAACTACATCTGAACTCACTATAATCTTTTGTGAGATAGGATTATAGAACTTATAGTCCTTTAACTCCTCACTAATTTCGAGTAGAACACATTTCAAGCTTTGAATTAGATTCATGATGATCCGATTCTTCCGTTTTACAATGTCATTTTGTTGCGGAGAATATGCGGCGGTTAGTTGTCTTTGCACTCCATATTCTTTGCAAAAATTATTGAATTATTTAGATGTAAATTCTCCACCATGATTTGTCCGCAGCTCTTTGAGAGACATATTTGTTGCTTTCTCAACATGTATCTTGAAGTTCTTAAAAACATAAAGGCTTCTGATTTTTCTGCCAAAAAATAAACCTATATTTTTCGATTAAAGTCATCAATAAACGTAATTAAATACATTTTATTACTATTTGAAGTGGGCTTAATCGACCCACAAATGTCGGCATGAACAAGTTGCAAAATTTGTTATGCTCTACAAGAACTCTTTATGGGGAATGAGTCTGGATGGTGTTTCCCACAATACAATCTTTGCACAACTTTGAGGGCACTTCAAATAAAGGTAAACCCTTCACCATTTATTTTTGCTTCAGAGTTTGTAAGTCTTTGAAACTTAAATGCCCAAACCTATAGTGTTACAACTATGCAATATCTTTTGTGTCTATTTTAAAACAAATGGATGCTATAGGCATAAAGATGGCATGCGGGAAAAACATTCGATTTGCAGATATATTAGCTTTCATGATTAAGCCTTTATCAGGATGATATATTTTGCATTGTCTGTGTTAAAACAAAATACTCAACCCTTTCTCTTTGTAATTGTCCCTGACTTAACAAATTATTTTCCAATTTTTGAACATAAATATTTTTTGAAATGATATTAATAATGTCATCAATTTCCAGCCTAATGTTACATATGCCATTGACCATTATGTTGGAATTGCTTCCCAACTTTTTTCACACATGTGATTGTTACACCCAGAGTCAAGAAACCACGTGTCTATGCTAGGTTTCCGCATTTTTTTGACAGGAGTCATCAATAACATGTGGTCTTCACTATCTCCTTGATTTTCTGCAAAATTTGTCACTCCTTTATCGTATTCCCATTGAAAATGACCAAGCTTGTGGCAAGCAAAATATCCCTTTGTTGTTTTGTCAAAGTTTTGTTGCCTCTTTCAAACCTACTCCTCTAAAGCATACACGCCCTCTTCCTTATTGTTGGATCTTTTGAGGGGAGATTCACAAGGGAGGACAACATCAATGAGATAAAAGTCTAACTCATATAAGGATTGACACCATTCTCAATCCAAAACCTTAAGGCATTGGGTTACGGGTCATACTTTCTTATATGTTGTCCAACTTTCAAATTATTACTCAATGTGGGACTTAACTCACACTTGGATTACCTAACAATCTCCCTCTTAAGTGTGAATCTCTTCACATTGGTACATCTCTTCGATCTCACTAGTAGTGTTTCCATATACTGACATCTACTCTAACGGGATACGCTTACTTAACTCACCCACTTTGTCATGAATACTTTTGATACAAATACCACTCTTACCCACTGTCAATCAACCTTCGACTCTGATACCACTTGTTGGTCTCCCTAGTAAATCTCCTTCGAAATACCCAACAAGTGGTATCAGAGCCCAAGGTTGATCGGCAGTGGGTAAGAGTGGTCTTTGTATCGAAAGTCTTCTTGACAGAGTGAGTCAGGTAAGTGTGTCCCGTTAGGATGAACGATGGTACATGAAAGGATCACTAGTGAGCTCGAGGGATGTACCAATGTGGAGGAACTCATACTTGAGGGGAAGATTGTTAGGTATCCAAGTGTGAGTTAAGTCTCACATTGAGTAAAAATGAGAAAGTTGAGAACATATAAAGAAGTATGACTTATAACTAATGCCTTAAGGTTTTGGGTTGAGAGTGGTATCAATCCCTTATATAAGTTTGGCTCATGTCTCATTGATATTGTTCTCTCCAGTAAATCTCCTTGAAAGACTCAACACTTATTTAACATACAAGTTTCCATGAGTCACTTTTAGAGTATGCTCTTCATAAACAATAGGACTCATGTGTTGTTCATGCACAAGCAAACTACTTTAGAGCTCATCACATACTTGTATCTTTGGATTTGGTGACATTGACCTTAAAATCTTTTCCACAATAGCAAAATATTTCAAATCTTCACCATTTTCTTTCATCTTATTGGTAATAAGAAGAATTCAAGCAAATTATTCATTCATAGATTTGTCTTCCTTCATATGAGTAATCTAATACTCTTTTCGCAACGCCTGTAGATTTGCACGTTTTACTTATGTTATGCCTTGATATTTAGTTTTTATAGAGGCCTAGATATTTTTTAACGAATCTTTATTGATTATGATCTCAAAGCATAATGTAAACACCAAAAAGATAATATAAAAAATAACAAAAATAAATAATAAAAAAACAGCCACCCTACAATCACCACCCTAAGCTCCAGCTAGCCACCCTACCTACAGCCTATGCCCTACAATCTCCCTACAGGTTACAAGAAAAGGAGGAACACAATCTTGCAAATCGAGCTCTATATAAATTAAAAAGGAAGGAAGACAAAAAAGGAAAAAAAAAATATCATCACACACCCACCATCAGAGAACCCTCAGTCAATACAATCACAATAATATCTCAGTCAATACAACCACAATAATATCTCAGTCAATACAACCACAACAATATCTCAGTCGAGAAACAATCAACAGAGGCAACCAACAAACAATCAACAGATTTCCAATTTGTAATAGTATTTGTATCCTATTCCCAATTCCTAATTGTATATTTTATAACTATTCATAAAAATTATAAAAATTAACAGAAAAACCTCATTTACCACCTCACCGACGGCCACACAATAAACCCACCATACCACTGCATCATCGACGACCACCATAGCTCAGTCGCGACCTTAATCTCCGTGTTACCTCATTCATCCTCTTTTTCTGGTAGCAAAACCCTTCTCCTTCACTCATTCCTAGATTTAGACTCACATAGTCCCGACTCTCATTTCCTTCACCAGAACCCTAGCTGCTCATTCTCATCCACCAACCCTAATATGTGCCTTCAGCCACGAATCACCCATTGTCATCGAACCACACCCACCGCTCACCATACGCCACCCTTGTGGTTGTTTCCTCTACACCTCACCTTTTATTTCTGACCATCATCACCACTTGAACCCGCGAGCCACTTCTCACCAACCACCGCGAGCCACGACCAACCATAGCCCATAATCGGACCCACCCACCCCAATTGCCATCATCCATAGTCATATTGGTGAGCCAAGTCACCACAGAACAACTGCAAAAGAAACATCCTATCACCACTTTCTCCCTAGCCTTGCGCCCCCGCTTAATTGAGTCACCCTCACTTGCGACACCCAAATTGCCACCGCGTGCCATTCTCACTAGCCACCGCCCCAATCACCAATTTCTACGTCTCCCATTTTCCTCTATCAAGGTTAAGGTAGAATTAAAGATAAAAGATGAGGTTGGGCTTAAGAGAGATAGACCCAAAACGTATATGGGGTGAAAAAAAAAAAAAGATAAATTTTCAAATAGTGAAATAAGTCTGAAACTTTTTTTTATTGGGCCTAATATTTTCTCCCTTTTATTTTATTTTGATAAACTAGACAACATAAAAAAAAACAAATTATAAATGGTAATGAGTCAAAAATTTATTATTATTATTATTAATTTATCCAAATTTCAAATAAAAAGGATTCTATATATATATATATATAATTTTTTTTTCAATAATTTAAAATAGTATATCATTATTAGTATATTGACAATTAAAGTTAATTATCACTTTTTTTAAGTGTTATTAAACATGCAATATTATCATTATTAGAGTAATAAGAAAATATTTTATAAAGGTTTAACCACTTTAGATGCACATCTAATTTCAGTTACTTGTAAAATTGTAATAATAACTTTAAATGTAATTTTGACTTAATTATAATAAAATATTTTAAAAATATATATACATTTTAAATCTAAATAAAAATATAAGTACAATAATTTAAACATTTAAATTATTTTGGATGTATTTCCAATTTAATTATTATTCAAATGATAAAAATAATAATCACCTTAAATGTACTTCTAATTTGATTATTACATAATTATTTTTGCATATGTTTAACTTAACAACATAAATAGATAAATTAAAATAAATTATTCACAAATATTTGTAAGAAAGAACTACATTATTACTGATTCTCCATTGCACTTAGGGATACGTAGGGAGATGATCTCTGTCGAGTTAAAAATGTAAAAATATAATCTTTTATTTTTAGTAGCAATATTTAATCAATATAAGTTTGGTGGGTAAAATAAATAATTTTAAGATATTTGAATTTTTATGTCTAATTAACGGTAACTTGTTTTTAGAACGGATGTTATAAGATGTTAATACCTTCCTTACGCATAATCGATTCTCGAACCCAACATTTATTTGGTAGACCACTTTCTTTTCTTTTTGAATGTTTTTTTCGAGTATTTTTCCTTCAAATAAATATTAGTGGTGACTCCATTATTTTTGTTGTTTTTCTTTCATTTAGAAACATAATTTTATCGTCCAATTACAATTTTGATTATGATACATAACGATCTAAAGCTAGAAACAAATAACTCTTAGCTTTTGTATCCTTCAATTTCTACGGTTAACAAATCTTCTTTTGTGTTTTAGTCCGAGTCTACCTTATGTTGCTTTTGAGCGAAGAAATTTTTTCATAAACATAACTAAATGATCATAGTGACCATCAAACCTTTTGTTACTACTAGTTAAAAAAAAAATACTCCTTATCGTCTTTTTTTTTTTTTTTTTACCTAAAAGTTTGAGAAGATTGTTGTTCGAGGCTCCGATACCAAATAATAAAGTAATTAAGTGTTTCAAGAAAAATAAATTATAAAATAAATACTCATATATTATTGAATGAAAAATTTTCAAACTATTAAATAGTCATACAAAATAAAATAGAAAGATAATATATCTCAACTACCAGTTATTCTAAAACTAATAATCTCAAATAATACGGAATTTTGTTTACTGGTTGGTATATAACAACACATAAAAAATAGTTTTATTATACCTTTGCCAATAATCTCAAAGGTATATATACCTTTGCCAATAAAAAAAATAGAAAAGCTTAATTAAAATAAGTAATGATTGGTTTGATAGTTTTATTATAGTAAAAATAAATGATTTAATGGAATTATTTAATAAAATATTAATACTGATAAGTGAAAATAATACTTTAATAAGAAAAACACCTTTTATCAATTTTGAGTTTCTAAAAAACAAAAACAGTTTTAAAAACAAAAAAAAAATATATCAAAGTTTTTTAGTTTTTAAAAATAAAAAGACTGGAAACTGTTTTAAACAATATTAAATAAGCAAGATATAATAAGTCTTTTCCACCTTTGCCGCTAGTTAGTGATGAACTATTTTATTCTTCTCATGATACCGTGAAAATAATAATAATAAAACTGTTGTAGAAAGAAAAAAGAGTTGATTTCAATTTTTTTTTCTAAAATACTCAATTTTTTTTGTCCCTGTGACGGTGTGTATATTCATAGGTTTTCTATAACCCTGTGTGTGTGTTTTTATTTCACTTGAAAATTAATAACTTTATGAGTACACTTGATAATTTTATAGTTACTGACTTATTTTACAATTAGGTGATCATGATTTTTTATTTTAAATGATAAGTCACAGTTATCATTGACGGAATAGTGAGATCGATTTTATGATTAACGTAAATTATTAACATCACATAAAAAAAAATTTCAAAAATGTGAACTTAAAAAATGAAAATATAAATAATATACCAAATATATATGTTTTTATTTAAATTAACAAAGACATAAAAAAAATGATAAATCAGATTCAAGAAGGTTCAAAATATATTTTGCACTAACTATATATTTAAAAGGTTATTGTGGCATTGTTTGATGAGAGTAAACATGTGCTCTGTACAGAAACCATCACATCCCTCCTCTGCATTTTACAAGTGGAATAATAAAATGTTGAAGTTTGATTTATTTTTTATATACTTTGATTTGATATAGAATGACATCTGAAGGTGGATACAGGGAAGGCTTCTTCCAAGTTCGAGTGTCACCATAAAATGGACATAGAGAAAGAATTTTGTAAGAAAGAAAGTAATAATTATGATGGAAACAGATGATTATAAACAAATTTAATTAGATAAATAACTTAGTTTTTCTTTATTTTTTATACACATATAAATTGATAGTTTGGTTGATTAGTTTATTGATACCATAGCTCAATTTGATACAAGTAGTAATTAGTAAGTTTAATACTTTAATCGTTCAAGATATATGACAAAGTCTTAGTCTTGCGTATGTTTAAAGCATATGAATAAAATAGATTACGCAGGACTTTGGATTGAAAGTTTTAATATTTATACTTATTGGTGTAAAGTAATAAAAGAGAGAAAATAAATATTTTCCGCTTCTTCCTTTTCATTCTTACCACCGAAAATTTTGATTTTATAATATATATATTATCTTTAAAATATAAATAAATGAGTATATTTTTTATAAAAATATTAATAATAAATATTATTTTTATTTTTACACACAAAATTTTATTTATATATTTTTTTCTTCCTTTATTTTTCACACATTTTTATTTTTTCATCTTTCACATTTATATATATATATATATATATATATATATATATATAATAAAATATATATTTATTTTATATTAATATTAAATATATATGAACGATTTATAAATTTTAATAATTTTATATAATATATATACCATAATTAATTTTAATTTATATATTATCTAATTTGGTTATTCTCGTAAAATTTTCTGATTCTACCTTGAATATTATATAAATAAAAAAATACATTTGTTTAAAATAAAAATAAATTTTAAAAGTAAATTAAAAAGAAAAAAAAATTAAGAGCGTGAAGATAAAAATCTAATATTCGTGTATATATTAACATTAACCTTATATATTTCTTTTAACAAATAACGTTAACATTATTATTGTATATTTCAGCAAGTAATGCAAGTGAGTTGTGAAAAATGCATTAGTTATTATATTATATGAGACAGTGATATTTTGACGTGGGAAGAGGAAAAAAACTATTAAACAACACGTTTACATTTTTTATATCATTATTTATTTATATTTTTTATTTTTCTCTTCATCAATTAATCAAAATATTATTACTTTAAAATTATTATTTACATGAAGAGTGTTAAAATATTTTTTTATAAAAAAGAATATTAATATTTTAATATCATAAAAAAACAAAAACAATTATTTAATAAATTATTTTTAAATTTTTAAATTATTATTTATCTATTTTATTTTTTCCTTATCAATCAATCAAAATATTATTATTATAAAATTATTATTTATATATTTATAAAAAGATGATGTCAAAATATATTTTTCCTCCATGAAAGAATGTTGATATTTCTACCTAAAAAAAAGACAAACAATCATTTAACATCACCCTTGTATTTTTATATTATTATTTATCTATTATTTTTCATTCTATTTTTATCAATTAACTAAAATATTATTATTTTAAGTTTGGGTTAAAATATTTGTTTTCCTTATATAGAAAAGTACTAATACTTTTCACATTCCACAAAGACAAAAATTATTTTTCAACAACCCATAACTATAGTGAGAAAAGGTGAGCTGCTTAATACAAATCTTTCACATAATTATAAATATATTAAATAATCATTAAATTTAATAAACTAAAATTATAAATTACATCATAATGACAGAATCATAATCCCTCAATTTTCAAAAATATCGATTCCTGCATTCAAGAAAAAGTGTGTTTGTTTCAAATCAAACTCAAATTTTCCTAATTTCATACCCATTTAAATCAATGCTAAATTTATATCCAAAATTATACTCTATATGACGTCTCATAGTTTATACGAACACATTGTGCACAGAAAAAAAGGTTTGAGTTCACATTTGATGGTATTGCTAAATTCCTTAACATCAAAACAGAACAGGCTTCACCAAATTCTTTAACCATGGCAACTTCACAGCCTTTACTTCTTCAAACAAGAGTTCTTACAACATAATTCACTGTTCTATTTATTACACAACATAAGACATGTCTGAACTCCCTTACACCTTAAACTAAATATAAAACTAGTAAAGCAACATTTCAGTGTCCACCAAATTTAGACGTAGTTTCATCCCAAGTATTGTTTTTTAATTAGAATTAGAATTTAGTCTGGATGAAAATATCGAATTAAAACTTCAATGATAATTAAACAACACTGAAATACTGAAAGTAGGTGAATACTAGCATCTAAATCTTTGCAGCAGTAAAACTCTTGAGAAAAAATAACCATCTTGATAGTTTTCTGTTAACTTTCTTCTCTTTAATGGTGTCCAGACTAGGTTTCCACCCTTTTCCTGATAACTGCCTACTCAAAAACTCTGGTCTTCCTTCTATCATTTCCGGCAAAAATTCTGAAAAATCGTATCTTTCTTCCGTGTTCACCGGCTCTTCTTTTCTCAGCAGCACCGCAACCTCTCCTTCATTGTGGAACAACCGTGCAAGCCAAGGAAGAAACCCCGAAGAAGAAACAAAATACCTGGAATGAAGAGCAGAGTTAACGATGAAGAGAATACGACGACTATCCTCGCGGCTCAACCCCACAGGCTTCCCTCGCTTCACCGGAACCATCACGTACGTTTTCTTCATCTCCAGCTTTTCGTCTGCTGACAGTGGGGTTGGCCTTTTCTGCTTCACAGCGGAATGAAAATCAAGCACAACCTGTTGTGGGTGCTCCATCATGAGCTCTGCCACCGTTACTGGTTCGTCAAACTCTTGAACCGAACCATCCCAGTAAACGATTTTCCCCGTGCCACGATCTCTGGCTATTTGGTTTCCCATGAGAGAATATTTAACTGGTTTGAGTTATTGGTTGTAAAGTTCCCACAACAGAGAATGTGAATTGACTTATATTGAGGGTAACCTTGTGATGTTTGTTAAACCGCTCCATCTTGTGAAGAATATAATGGTGGACTTGGTAGTTCGATTTGCTGAGTCGTTGAGTTTTACAAGTACATTTTTTGACTTGGAATTTGCATGTCACGTTTATTAATTAATCTCATTTGAAAAACAAGATGATTGCTCAGAAGTTCGATTAGATTGTTCTTAATTTTGCCTGCTCTATTAACCTAACAGCAAAATGAATTCAAGGAACCGTTCAACTGCAATTTAGTGAAATAATTTGATTCGGTTATATTATAGTTTGTTTTGTACTTTGACGCTGTATAATTTTATTGGCCTCTCCAATTTACCTGTCTTTTTCTTCTTCTTCTTTTTTTCTCCCTCTGCTTCTAATGACGGTCCAATTTAATCAAACCAATTTTCTGTTGCTTGTCGGTGCGATTTTCCATAATTTTAACCCCCTGACCTTTTCTTTTCAGTGTCACCAATAACAACTATATAAATTTATATCTTCACGTATTTATAACAACTCTGATAATACATCATGTTTGTCTTATTTAATCAAAATTTACTATAAATAAATATATATATCTACTATATATAACGAAAAATCCTGATAAAAAATATATTTAATTTCATATTTTTTTTAACAATATAATTCTAACTATTTAAGAGAGATAAAAAGAGAGAAAAAAAAAATGATGAGAAGGAGAAAGGTAAAAAATTTAGTAAACTTTTATTATGAATAAAGAATTATTAGGTGGGGGAGTGGATGGAGAACAAAAAGTACATACATGCATTGAAGCTAGGTTACCCTACGTTTCTGGGTATCGTTATTAATTTGACGTACCTTAATATGGACCATGTGAATATGACGAATTAATTTGCTCATATTGACTTCATGAAGGTAGCACGCTATTTGTATGCAAAATTCATTGGAAAACTTTTGTTAAAATTTATGCAGTAATAATAAAAGTAATGTAACTGGGAGAAATTATTATTAGGTTATCGATCACTACAATTTTTAGATGCATCAATCTTTAAATTATATATATTTTTTAATTTTAATTTTTAAATATACAGAAAGATAATCTCAGTCGAAAACTAAGAAATGTTCACAACTATTTAAGAAACAAATTCTAAAACATCTTTACATTTTTATAAAATTACCTTCTCATACTTTATTTTTTTATTCATGAAAAAAAAAACTATATAGTTAAAAGAAACAAAAACCGAGAGAGGATAAAAAAATGATTTTCCAATGGAGTCTATTTGTTCCAACATTTTCCGACAAAAGCTTCTTCTCCCCTTTGTAAAAAAAAAGAAAAGACATTAAAATTTTAGATATTTGTTTAAACTTTCAAAGAACATTTTTTTTTATATTTGTGCAGAGTAACTTGCCCAACAACGTGGAGATAAAGAAATATCTTCTCTAGAGAAGAAAGAAGAAGAAAAGAACAGTAGTTGCCTTTTTCAAATAAAGAAATTGATTCCTGTTCTGTAGAATAGTTTTTGGTTTTTAAAACAAATATACGTTACAATGATATTTTGAATTTTTCATAAAATCGATAGAAGCATTTCTTTTTCTTCTACGTCGTCTAGTTACATGTTGCTATAGATATGGTAAGTTGTTTGCCTTCGGAATGAAATTCTTGAATTTAATTTTTTTCAAAACTTGTGTTTCTACAATCTGTTTAAAAACAAAATGGAAACTTTTTTTCACATTATTTATTGTATATATCTTCTCCAAAAAGACAGTTAGGAGAGTTACGTACGCATTAAACATGTAGATTAAAAATGTCTTGTTTTGAGATTATCTAAGGATATACAACGTTATTATAATGGCAATGTTGCAAGCAGTGAAAAAGAAAAAGAGTAAATTTTCTGGCATGCTAACAAGGTTGTTGTGTTCAAACTAAACCATGCAAATATAGTATATATAGCATAAGTTGTCGGTGGTGTGTCTCCTTTGCCCCACAATTTCAGAGTATTCACCACTTCATATATATGACTCATGCTACTCCATATGTTCAAGTATAGCAAGAATTTTGCTGCTAGGGTGGTTTTAGGTTACAGGAATCTCTATGCAATTTTTATTATTTTTCATAATAAACATTTTATTTGGGAGTGGAGTGGCATTGGGCCATTACTACCGTCCTGAAATCTACTTACTATAAATTCTTGTGTAACGAGGGGGTCAAGTTGGTGACTTCACACCTCTGCACAACAATCAAAAGTCAAGAAGATAATTAATTTTTTGTGATTTTATTAAAATATTACAAAATATAAATATTGATCTATTGTAAAAATAGAGGGGACATGATGTGATGATGCATGTTATCTTATTCGTTAGGTTTGCAAACCTAACTTAAATGTGCCATATCACTACCTTAAATCTGACTAACTATTGAAGCAACTCAATAGTGAAGACCATCATTACAAAGTGACTCTCATAATAATAGCATAAGGACATGTCACATGCCCACGCCACCTTTTCAGTTCTGTTAATAATTAATACATTGATTTCACGGATAAATATATTAGAAAAATTGTTATCATTTTAAAAGATATTTTTTACATGATTTTCAATGGAGAAAAAAAGTAAGAATATATAGCTTTTTTATCATTATTATATTAATAAAAAAAGTTGATAAATGATTTATTTTTTATAAATTATTTATATATCATCACTCAATATATTAAAATAAGTATTATTTTATTCGATTATACGTATTATCTTTTTATATAAACAAATAATTTAGAACAAATTTTAATTTACTTATTAAAAATAGGTAATATTCATTGATTAAAATGAGTAAAACTGAATTTGAGTTTTATGTACAAACTCCATTAATTCAGTAATCTACTTTTATTTTCCTACACTATTCTTAAATGGATCTCAGCATTCTTATATATCATTTACATCGATCTATTTTTTATAACTTGAGAAGCTCACCTTTTCAATCCAATAACTCTAAAAAAAGGTTATTTACATATAATCGTAAGTTGTTAAATTTTATTAGTAACTCATAAAAATAATTTTGCTTCATATTCATATGAATATAATATTATTATAATATCAATATATTTCTAATTGATGTAGATTTTATCATATTTTCTCATTTTAAGGGAGATTTTTTATGTTCAAACATTCTTAAAATAGACTCTCATACCATATTAAACATGGTAAATTACTTAACTCATAACAACAAGATAAAGAATATATTTAAAATATATCATATTATATCTTTTATTAAAGGTGTGACCTTCTTATCTCGAAAAGGATATCACATAATTGATAAGAAAAACAAAATGATTATAAAAATATTTTAAAAGTAATTTTTTACATTATTATTATAATTAAAATGATTAAAATAATTATAAATATGGTTCAACAAACAAAAATGTCAATTTATGATAAATAAAAATTCACGTATTTTGGAAACAAAACTACATAAGGAGAAAATTGACAACTGATATATGACATGAAAAACAATTTTTTTATGATTATGAAAAAAAAAGAAGGAATGAAGTGGTTTTTAAAGTAATCTTTTTTTTTTTATTTTCAATATGGATATTCTTTATTTGGCATTAATCTGATCGAAAAAATATTTCAAAGTACTTTTTGTTTTATGATATATAAATCTTGAATTATACAAAATTATGAAGAAGAAATTTAATTATCTATTAAATTTTGTATATTGTTTATATAATTGACACTTTATTCTCATTTATATTTATTTATATAAATAGATTTTGTTTGATTAAAAAATGTTGTCTGTCTCATCACTAAAATACTGATACGATGATAGTTTTTTTTTTTATTGTTATTATTATATTATTATTATTATTTATCAGAGTACAGTAATAATAAATTTTATGACGAAGGACTGGCGACTTATATTTTTTATGGGCCAAAAGCCCTTGAATCTTTGGGCCGCTGAACTCTAAGCGATTACTACTCTAGTGGATCTTAAGTGGAGTTTTTTTTTTTTTTTTTAAGAGGAGATTTATTAACACCATTTAAAGACTTGAATATATTTGAACAAAATGTATTATTAGAATTGCTCCACATTTTAAATATGAGCGTGGACATCCTGCAGAGTTGGTTCAGAGGCACAACATGTTAGTTTTAAAATAAACTTAGAAAAAGAATACCCAGAAAATTGTCTAGTGTAGTGCGTGCGTGAGGAAGACAAAGTTGAGAGAGGTGAGACGGGGCTTATTCGAAGATAGTATCCAAAACGGGACTCCATCGTACTTGATTCCCCAACCTCGGACACACTGGGAAAAGAGAAACCTCGTTTTCTACGTCCCTTTCAGTTGACCTCGGAATGAGTGAGGGAGAAACCTTGGCCATGTTGCTTCGTTTTGTTCTCTTTCCGTGGCTACTCCGTGTCTCCGCAATGGCCATCTCAAACTTGGAAGCCTTGGAATGGACCCTACTAACCGGCAACAGCAGGTAAACCTTTCCCGCTACAAGCTCCTCTTCGGCAACTAAAGCGGAAACCCGTCCCGTTCTACGGAGTTGGTCCAACGGAGTGATGACGTGGCCGAATTCTTGTATCATTAGCTCCCCCGATTTCACCGGCAACTTGATCTCCCGAGTGTTCCCATCACTCTCCAACAGAGTCGCTGTTTTCGTACTTTTTCTTCTCTTCAAAATGTTCCCAATACTTACACCGCTAGAGATACAAGAACTAGAAGCAGCGTTCCCCATAGACTAACCTTCAAATAAATTCAAAGAGACAACGAAGATGCTTGATTTTGCGTACACTGTTATGTTGTGTGGTCGACGATAGTATGCTTTAGGTAGGGGTATATATACAAATTTATGGATTTAGAATCGAGTGTAAAGTTATGGTTGTGGGAGTGACGCGAATTTTGGCTTCTATGGAGAGAAATGGTGTCGAAAACGCGGATCTTTCTTTCTTTTATTATTCGTCTCTGCTTCATAAACTTAAAAAAAAAAAAAAAACCTTTACAGTTCAATAACCATCTTGCTTTTCTACCTCCAAAAAAATATCATCAATTTTAACACTAGGGAAAGAAAAAATACGAGACTAATAAGAGATGTAATACTAGAATATATATATATATATATATATATATATATATATATATATAGTGGAAATATATAAAAAGATTACATAAATTAATAAATATTATAATTATTTGTACCTAGCAAATAATTATAATTTAAAAGCGTGAGAGGCGATTGTGGACCTTTCCTGGTTTGAAGCGTAGTGTGAGTCAGATTCCAATTTTGAAGGATACCAAATTGTGGCTGCCAGAATTGAGAATGACACCGAAGTAGTGATGTAGTCTTTTGACTTACCAATGTGCTTTATTTTTTAATATAATTCTTAGAAAAAAGTTGTTTATAGATAAAATATATACTTTTTAATTTTAAATATATAATTGATATTAAAATAATATTTTTTCTTATATAATTATTAGAAAATTTTCAAAAAATATCTTACACTCAATTGACCTTTACTCTAACTGCCACCGGGAGGAATCAATGGTCGATGAAACTTGTTTTATATTTAGGACACTAAAAGAAAAATATTAGTTCGGCAAACTATTTTTAGCTCCTAAAATATCGAAACGTTGTCATAATTGTCCAAATTAAAAAAAAATATTAAATAAATTCCTGAAACTAAATTTAGTACTGAGGGTGTCAACTCATCGTCATCCTATCGTTGTGTTTTTTTTCAGCCATCCAGTAATGTCTCTCTAATTCATCGTACATTCACATCTGCATAATGTTTTCAGGCGCAGCACTTAAAACTGGGAATATAGTTTTAAATAATAAACTGGTATAATTTGGAAGAACAGATATTCACAATAAAAAAAAAAAATTAGACAAGTCAGAGAAGAGTTCAATGATAAAGAAAATACAGTTTCTAACTTTTTGAATCTACTATTTCCTGCTTTATTTTTTAAATACCAAGCCCTTAATTTGCCTCGCCAATATCCCAATAGATCAAAGCTTAAGGACAGTTCAGGTGCATATGTAGATAATACAATAATTTCAGGAACAACTATTCGACCAAAAAATTTATTATAGTTATTTTAATTATCACTGAGTATCATACCTTATGCTAATCTCATTTATTGAGCATTTTTTTAAATAATCTTTTCCATCATCTATTGAAAAAGAGAGAATAGAATAAACCTAATTTATCAACTATCTCAAAATTTTCAACTACATCAAACTACTCTTCCTTTTATCTTGATCTGTATTCTTCCTACCATTTATATCTTTTAATCTACCATTTTTTAACTTTATTTTCAAATGTTTTTTTAATAATATTTTAAAATAAAGAATCAATAATTAAAAATTAATTTATATCATAATATAAATTATATTTTCAAAAATTCAAAATATATTCTATATATTTAAAAATATATTGTACTATAAATTTTAATTAATATTATAATATAATTTATATTAATAAACTTTTATCTTGTATATTGTATTCGTCAAAATAGTACCAATATATATGATGTGTCTTAAAATATATAAAATTATTTTGTTTAAATATTGTGTTACAAGTTATTTATACAAATACTATAATACCATAATTCACGTGCTTTGCACTTTTATCGCTCTTATCAGCCTAATTAAAAGTGAAATTAGGAACATTGGATCATCGGTTATAGAGATTCTAGTTGTAGATGCTATAATGGAGTTTTTTTAATTTTTTTTTAATTTTTTTAGTGTGTGTGTGTATTTTGGACCCAATATAGGTCTAAAGAGTACCGAACAACGACCCAGAGACAACTGGGGCAACAGAACTTTGACATTGGGCCATACACTTTTTTCCTCTGGTATGTTAATTATATTTATGGGCCCATTTATCCAAAAATGTTCTATCTTATCCACCTATATATGTTATATTATTGTTTCTGGTGGAATTTCGATCGATTTCGATTCTAAAGGTGATTTGGTCATAATCAAAATCCTCCCACGTAAGTTCTTTTTACTTAGGCTAGCAGTCTGACTTTCAATCGAAAACGTGTATGAGAATCGAAAGTCACAGAATATCGAAAACACTATTTTTTATATTTAAAATACCAAACACAGAAAAAATATCGAATCGAGAAACATAATATTAAATTGCAAGGAAATGTAAAGTGCGAAAACCCCAAATTTGCATTAATTGTAAATGACAGGAAATCGAAAATACAGAAACTTAAACTTTCATTGAATTGAAATGACAAGGAATCGAAAAGACAGAAACTTAAACTTGCTGAATTTAAGTTGCATCAAAGTAAATTACCAAGGAAAATACAGAAAACGGTAAATGTACTCAGTGAGCAAGGAAATCCAGATTGCCAGAAGTTTCATGGTGTTCGTCGTTTCTCCGGTAGACTTTTCACTACTAATTTTGTTCTCTGCCAATTTCTGCCCCCTGTTCCTTCCTCCTTTGCTCTATTTATAGGGTATCGTTCAAGCCTTCCAAGAGCAGTTAACACGACTGCTACCACGTTCTACGTGCGTATGGCAGTTTATCTTCTATAGTTTCCCACGTTCTCACGATCTCCGACTTTTTTCCATGGTTTCGAAACCGCTCTCTACACGTGCAATTGACTTACTTCCTTTCATGATTTGGCCAAAGTCTCGATGTCCACATTGGCTTTCTTTACTCTCGATTTTGTATTTTTCGAGAACTTCAAATTGCTTACGATTCCTTTTTAATCTTGGTCTCATATGACTTAGTTTTTATTCGACAACAGGCATTTGGTTATCATTCACTCGATTCTCGATTGTGCTTCTCGATGCTATATGCTATGTACTTCTAATTAGGCATCGAATGAATTTTTGTTTATCTTATCGAGTCACATTTCTTTCCTTCATTTTCGATCGCTTTTCTCGATTTGCCACTAACAAAATGCCCCCTTGGAAGAATATGAATAGTTTGTTTATATTCTTTCAATATTCCCGCCTTAGTGTTTGGAGGCCCACAGAACTTTAGGGTTTAGGGTTTTTGGGGTTCTAGGGTAAAAAGGGTTTTAGGTTTCCTTTTTGTTTTACGTCGCCGTCTCGTCAGTCTGCTGCCTTTCAGTACAAGCTACATTAATTGCCTTTCACCTCCGTCGTTTCCAGCTCCCTAGGCGATTTTCCCCTTAACCTCTCCCTTGGTCTTTATTCTGGTTTTTTACGCGAACTTTTACCCTCTGTCTGCAATTTCATCTTCCTCTTAGAGCCCCTGCCTTCGCCTTTGCTACCCAACTTTTAACCTCTCTCTGCTCTTCCAAGCTAACTGAAATGGCAACTTCATCCAAGTCTTCTGATTTCTCAGTTCCACCCCTTTCCTCACTGGCTTCTAACCTGCTGGAGATTAACAATCAGAAGTTCGCTCCAGTCCCTTTGATGGAGGAAGCTTCTCGGAAAATTGCCGAGACATAGGTACTTATTCCTTACAATACTGAGGGTATTAATTTTGCTTTTGGGGGTCTTCTTCGTCCTATCGATGGAATTTTCTCTCCCCTCAACCTCCCGACTAGCCCGGCTCTTGTACATCAACCTGAAGTTAGGGTTGATTTTCTGAATCTTACCTCTAAGGTGTATAGGACAGGCCCTCCTTCCAAAAAACCTTTATATATTAGATGGTTTGATAGAGTTAAGGTACAATTTGAAAATCATTGGAAGGTCGTGGGGATTTTCGATTTCTTACACCTGTCTCGATGTGATTTATCTCACCTGGATATGACCATGTTTTTATCCGCTGTTCACTTGTGGAATAAGGAATTACATGCCTTAGAATTACCCTGTGGTCCCCTCTCGCCCACTCTTTTTGAAATTGCGGCTATTACTGGATTGAAGCCTACAGGGGAAAAGTATTTTAAAGGTGCATGCCCTTCGGATGACTCTCTAAGGTTAAAGATCGATTGGGACTCGAAAGCATATGGACATTTCCTTGAGAGGCATTTCGTCGACGACGAATCGATGACTGTGACTGAGGAAGAACATATAGCCTTTTTGGTGTACTGGTTATGTACCCATGTTTTCTGTCCTCGATCGATCCAAATTTCCCCCCATCTATTTGACCTTGCATATCTCTTACACATAGGCTAGCCTAGGATATGTTTGGCTAAGCTTTTGCTAGCTCATGTATATACCGCTTTCGACGAGGCTGTCGAAATTTTGAGCACCCCTAAAGCGTCGGGAAACTTTTCTGGCCCCATTTGGTTTGTACAATTATGGTTAAACTTGATTTTCGAGAGCATCCTTTCCCCATCTTCCACTGTCCCCCCCAAGTATAAATATAGAAGGCGTTCGATTGTCTTCTCGTCATCCTCACCATAAGCCTGATGAAACGGCCTATTGTAGATATCTTAAATTTTTGTTGACGCGGTTCACTTTCGATTCGACTTTGACTCCCTTTACCACACATCTTGGACAACTAAGTGACCAACTTAGGGGACCAATTTGGTTTAAGTCAAAGTTCCCTGCCTCGACTCCTGGGTTGCAATCGGAGCTGATCGATATATGGAGTAATTACTTGACCCATGATGTATTAATATCGGGTTTTCAGTCAAAAGACTTTAAGTTGATAACCTATTATCCTCAGCTTTTCTCGAGGCAATTTGGTTTGAGTCAGTCTTTACCTTTCTTCCCCCTCGATACCTCCCCAAGGTCCAAGTTAACTGAATCTACGATTAGTCGGGAGCTCGTCAAGCTTTTACCAAAGACCCCGATGCATTTTT